ATCCTTTTTGAAAATATTCAACAAAGACTGCTGCTAATGTGTCTTATACACGAGATGTTATGATGAATTGATGGTTGATTCATTAAATTAAATATAATAAGGGCAAGCCTTCAAAATATTGATAGTATTCTTTCACAAATTGTGATCGTTTTTTTACTAAACAGAGAACCATCATCAGCATTTACCGATGACAATCATGGATGTATCTGGGTTCTGTAAGATGCAAAGATAGTTTTGTGATAGGTCTTTTGGAATTTATAAACTCGTATATGAAACTTTTAAGAACATTGAAAGAAATTCATTAATTTCCAGTTTTGAGAAAAATACTATAAATATTATTGCAAATAAGGAAAATCATTTTTGAATTAGTACTTTTTAATCTAACATAGTCATTACTTACTGGATTCTACACATCGATTTTCTTCGGATTCATATCTACCTTGACTATTAACAGCATAAACTTTACTATTTGAAGGTTGAAGAAAGTCGACATTAACTTGTTGATTGATATATAACCATTCAATTGGAAATAGTTTCCTTTGAATCTACAGGTGGCTGAGTTTTCTGACATCTTCTCTTCAGAAGCTACAAATGTTTGTCGAAGTCGAGACTTCGACTGAAGTAAATCATCTTGAAACACATTGAAATCGAGTGAACTGAGCCACCTGTGAATACTTTGTTTTTCACATTCTAAACTATATGGATCTTTTGTATGAGACATTTGGATATGTTCACTGGAAACACTCCATGTTAGATGATATCGAACTGATTACTTATATTTTGAGTTATTTGAAAGCTAAACGGTCCATTTGATGGTTCTCGAAAATCTGCTAATAATTCTTGCATCTAGTTGACTAGCAAAGTGAGAATATCGTGGATCGAATGCGAACTATTTTAACTATCGAATAGTATTGATAAATGATCAAATAAGATAAACGCACTTTAAAATATCGGTCATAAAATATTTAACAAATTTTTATCGATTTTTTCATATGTTGATTTAATAACTCAACAATCAGAAACAAGTAGGCGTATAATTAACTCACAACTAATTAGATCTGAACTATGTAGATCTAATTCAATTGAATCTTCGATTTCTTATGATTCATTAATCAACAATGTAGATCATAGAGTGTATACGTTCCACATTTCACTCGTGAAATAGAAACATTAAAAACAGAAAGAAAGCTAGACTTAAGTAAAAATAATATGTTAGTAGGTCATAAGCATGACTTTTCAAGAACAAATATCAAATAGTCAAACTAAATGATACTAACTTTTCAGTGTACATTCAATTCACTCTACCAGACGGGTGATCTTGTTCGACAAGATCCAGCAACAGGTGTTCTCTTCTATTTGGGTCGAAAAGATTTCCAAGTCAAACTGCGTGGGCAACGTATAGAATTGGATCATATTATGCGAACAATTTTAAATGCTTCTGAGACGGTGTCAACCTGTTTAGTAAAGAAATATCAAGAAAAAGATCAAGAATATCTCGTTGCTTATGTGCAAGTTTCGTCTGAAGTTGAAAATAGTCACTTGCGCGATTATTGCGAATCGCATCTGCCGCCGTTTATGATTCCATCTGTATTCATTACAATGAAGCGCTTCCCATTAACGGCAAATGGAAAAATCGATCAAAACTCAATGCCAAAGCCTGATTTTAGTATAATAATACCTAAAGAAATCGATTCTTATTCACATCCAATTACGAAGCTCGAAGAAAAACTTCAGAAAATCTTCGTTGAAGCATTTCATTTTGAAGCATCTCCTGATGTTAATATCTCTTTTGGTCGATTGGGTGGTACATCACTTGGAGCTATGCGAGCTCTTTCACTAATCCGACAAAATATTTATTCACAAATGAATATTAACCTTCTATTTACAAATTCATCTGTTCGACAACTTGCTAAAGTTCTTCAACCGCTGATTATTGACAAAAAGTATGACTTAGTTATAGAACCGATAAAAACACACGAGAATGAAGCTTCTCGTCCCATGCCATCAACTATCAGTGAAACTATTGGTATTCTATTTCTAGTTACTCTTTGGATCTTACCTATCCTATTAATTGTTTTATGCTCTTCAATAACACTTCTATTAACCGTTCCATTCATTCATTTGTTTATCTATGTACTTTGTAAAAATTTGCTTTTTCCGTTGGGCATGTCAAGAATAGAAGATGTACTGTTTTCGTCTAAATACTATTCTTGGTGGTTTCTACAACGCATGTGGACTTTAAATACGTTTTGGCTCAATCATTTGCAAGGTACATTATTCTACAATGCCTATCTACGTTTGTGTGGTGCTCGTATCGGTCATCATACGAATATTGATACTTCATTTATCGATACACCAGATCTTCTCGAAGTAGGTGATTCAACTTACATCGGTGACGAAGTTGTTCTTTCTTCTCTTACCTATTATGATCGCACTTTCAAACTACATCCGATTCGAATTGGTTCAAATTGTTCAATCGGTTGTCGAAGTGTTCTGCACGATGGAGTCGAAATCGAGAAACAAGTTGTAATAAAATCGATGTCTCCTGTGACTGGTCACATTTCAAGTACATCAGTTATCGATGGTCTGTCACAACGAATCGATAAGGATCAGTCTTCATTAGACAAGTATAACAGTGCACTCTCTAAATCACAAGTAGTTTTTCAACTTATTTCAATTTTGACTATGTTTTCTGTTCACATTTATCTATTCACATTGACTTTTTCATGTCTACCATCGATAATTCCATTATTTATTCGCCTAGCTATTGTTTGGCTTACTTGGTCAATCAGTCGCATGGTTATATGTGTTGTTCTTCTCAAATTTATCGTTGGTGAAGCACAACCAGGTTTATATCCTCTAAACTCATGGTATTTTTTGCGCAAACTATGGCTTCGTCAACTTGTTGCTCGATCGTTGGCATGTTCATTCGTATCAAATATAGGTCCATATCATCTTCTGTTTCCTCGTCTTCTTCGGTGGCTTGGTGCTTGGATCGCTGAATCAAATGACATTCGCATATCTCAACCACATTTTCTACTAGCTTTTCCGACGAATCTCGTTCACATAGAACAAGGTGTCACAGTAAATGGATCTGTTCTATTTGTTCCGTTCAATGTAACAACAAATGGTCAATGTGAAGTGAAAAGAATTCGACTCGGTCGAAAAGTTCAACTTGGTAATTATTGCACGATACAACCAGGAGCAAATATTGCGAAGCAGACGCTTGTCGGCACAATGACTCGTATTGATGAAGAGCCGAGTAAGGTAACTGATGATGATGACCATTGTAGAGTGATGCTTGGCATTCCAGCTCGATTGATGCCGTTTCAAGAATTTAGTCTATTCTCAATGTCAACAAAAATTTTTTCATCATCCATTTACTTTGATATAGCTGGTGCTATCGGAATTCGATTGTTAATCAATGTAATTCTCTCATTTGTATTGATTCATGCACCTTCATTACTTCTGATATATTTTCTTACCTGAATCTTGGCTGTTGTATTTACACGAACATGTGATTTGATAGTGACATGTTTCCAATCCTCAACTGCGTTCATATCACCGATGATGACATCTTGACCAATACTTGCTTTCAGACGGCGCAATAAAATAACCAACAATTGAGTACCACCAAGAAGAGGTGTAATGAAAGTATAAAAGTCAAGCGTCAAAGCTAAGATCAGTCGATATCGCCAGGGATTGGAAACATGTCACTATCAAATCACATGTTCGTGTAAATACAACAGCCAAGATTCAGGTAAGAAAATATTGAAAAATTCATAGGGAAATCATTTTCTTTTCAACTTTTTCCAAGGTAGTTAGATTGAATATGACTAGAAAACGTCTTTACTCAGAAAAGAATGAGGATTAGAGTGTGAAATCGTTTAAGTCACAGACTATTTTTTTGAAAAGTTTCACTATTTTCATGAATACTCGCCCTAGTAACAAGATGATCTCCTAGCATTTTGCTATATAGCCTAGATTGTAGGATGCTTGATGTTGATATTTAGGTTAAAATTTCCCTTTTTCATCGTAAAATAATGAAGATAGGGTCCAAGTACTAAAAAGCACTAATCAAACCATCACTATAAAGATGCTATAGAATTATTCGGAGCACTTGCTGCGTTTAATACTTTTTAGTACTTAAATTCTATCTTTGTCATTTTGGGATGAAACATGGAAATTTTGACCTATATAATCAGTATCAGTAGCTCTACTATCCAGACTCTGTGGAAAACTCTCGCAAATCATCCTGGCATCATGGGTAAGCATGCACGAGAATATTGAGATGTTTCCAAAGAATGGCTTGTAATTTCCAAAACTTCATATTCAAATCATTATTCGACTCTGAATAGAGATGTTTTCCCGTTATTTTCAGTCTAATTATCACAGAAAGAGTGGAAAAGAAAACGTTTAATGGAAATTATTATTTTTTCCATGAAATCATTGCTATTTACTATTATCTTTTGAATTCAAAGTGTCATACGAGCGAAGGCCGAACGTTTCGTCTGGCTCCAGTCACAATAGGTCCTTATTCACGTCTTTCTCATTGGGCGTTCGTTTTTCCAGGAGCAACTCTGCATGGCAACAATACTATTCATCCATTAACACTCATCATGAAAGACGATGAATTACCACCAAATACACAATGGAGTGGCTGTCCAGCGACTTTGTAATAAATATTAGAAATGAATCACGTTCATAAATATAATTTTTGAAGACATTGACTTCTGACGACGTCAATTTCCTTTCATAAAATCTATTGATTTACCCTTGGAATGCTTATGATTTTTACTCTTTGATACAAACGCTGCTTCTAGAGAGTGCTTTCTATCTAAATTCACATTGGCTATTAGAAAAAAAAGAGATAAACCAAAAAAATAACAGTTTTATTGCATACTTCACTTATAAAAATTTGTGTAGTGTTATGTATAAGACAAATTTGTCTGATAGCTAGAACTGATTTCGGCGATATGTCTAGAATACGGGTGTAGGCTGTGGATGAGAATTAGGACCAAAAGCAGACTTGAAAATTTTAAAATATGTTAGAGACTTTAGGGAACAACTATCGATTCTAATTTCACGAGATTCGGGTACATTCACATCATTGCATGCGTTTCTCATGTACTTTAAATATTCAAGTTACTCATAAGATTAAATATGGTTTGACTTGTATTCATAATGGCTGTCAGTTCGAGTGTGAATGTTCTATTGCAAGGACAAAACATACTGAGATTTAAGTCAAGTAAAATGAAGCCGTAGCGAACCGGAAAAGAATGTGAGCATGTATGGGAATATGTGAAGTACACCTCTAGCATATGGCTCTTCTTTTGATCTCTAATGGTATTCAAACCTCACATCACAAAACGATGTCCACATCAACACAAATTGACCAAGGTCAACAAGGATTTAAATAGATATAATGAAATTGCTTAAGCAAAATTGAAGGAAATTCATCACCTATTTTATTTAATCGTATAGAGATGCTGCGTTACAAGTTGAGATTACTTAGGGGTGCTCAAAAGTAGTGGCGGTCACATCTCAATTTCGTATAGAAGGCTTGATAAAATTTTCTGTTTTTATGAGACGATAGAGAAAATGAAGCTCTATTTTTCTGTGCTATTTCATCCCTATTCAGCTGGTATCATAATAATGAAATTTCGATAAGAACTGTTTTTTGTGTAAAACTTCACTAACGCGCGAGGCAGATTAATACGCTTTCCATTTNTTTCTCAATATTTTAACAGTCTTTTTCAAGAATTATATACAATTCTTTTATTTATTTTCAAAATAGTTTTTTTTCTTTCGTCTTTTTTTGACATAAAATCGGTTACAATAGCATCGATATCAATTTGATACTCTTTTTCTGCATTTATTAATGCTAAAGATGTTAATCGTTCTTGTTCAGTTGTATTTCTAATATGCGTTTTGATTCTTCTTAATGATGAAAAGCTTCTTTCGCAACCACACACATTAGTAAGTATGGTCCATAAAATTTTCAACAATTGATTCATTGTTGAAAGTGATAGATGAATATTGTGTTGCAGGAAAACTTTTGTTGCTCTTGTTAAATTCCATTGTTGTTTTTCACCAAGTGCTATTTTATATAATCGTTGTTTTGCTCTTAAATCATCCTAATTGATATTGTAAAAGCAAGAAATTTCTTTTAATTCATCTTCTACTAAAAATACTTTATTCAGGAATAACTTTTCACATAAAACTATAACATGCAAATAATTTTCATCAAATCTTTCTTTAATAGATGCAACTATAATATCTAAAACTGCATAAAATGAATTAATAGGATATTCATCTTGAACTGTTCCATTAACTGGATTAATATTACCACCTCCTAAACGTAATGAAACTTCGTTTTCGACGTTCATGAGATTCATCAATATTATTAGCTATACAGATTTTCATTGATTCATTTCATATTATTTCAAATTCATGTTCATTTCATAAAGTTTGAAGCGAATCAATTGTTATTTTAACTTGTGCTAATGCATCAGTTAAAGATATATTTGCACATTGTAAAAATTTTGATAATATATGTGTGCTTAGATAAATTTCACTCATCATGTAAGTATGAAAAACAAAATCAAAATTTTTAATTACTTGTAATAAAATGAATGAATTACCTGTCTCAATTAAATCTAATGCAGATAATATTTCTGAATATCGATTAAAAATAACTTTTAAACTTTCGTATCTACAAGTCCAACGAGTATTGGATAACTGTTTTAAGAATATAGATACAATACCACTTTCTTTTTGTAAGTCTTCGAAAACTTTATGACGTTTTGGTGATGCTTCAATAAAATTATATAGAGATTTAACAATACCAAAATTATTTCGAATATGTACAACAGCTTCTGAAATATCAACTAGACACAAGTTTAGTGCATGACCATTACAATGGACGTATAAAGCTGTTGGAACAACTTGTATAAAACGATTAGCAACACCTTTATGTTCACCTCCCATTGAACCGGCACCATCAAAGCATTATCCAACAACATATGTAATATCTAAGTCGAGTGTTTTTAACCATTCCAATAATAGATCAAACAAACCTTGTCCATTTGTATCAGAAGCTCGTTCAAAGCCAATAAAACGTTCATAAACATTAAATTGATCATCAGTAAGACGAATTACTAGAGAAACCTGTTGATGACGTGATATATCAGTTGTTTCATCAATCATTATTGAATAATATTTGGAAATTTTAATTTCAGATACAATTCGAGATAATATATGTTCTTGTATTATTGATAATATCTCATTTTGACTTGAATGATAAGTATATTTTAATGTACTTAATTTTTTTCTAATTAATTCATTTTCTGCACTTTGAAATTCTAATAATTCCAAAAGATTACCTAAAAAATAAAGTGTATGATGCATGTAAAATAATATATGTATAATATAAAGTAAAATTCCTATTAGAAGGTCGCATTTTTTCATTTTCAGAGGATTTTTTTTAATGATAAAGTTCACTAATATAGAATTGCTTGTTGAGTATATAAGTTGTTATCTAGCATATGGAAATTGTTCTTCGAGGTTAAGATTATTTTAGATTCAAAAAATCAATAATTTATACATAAAAAAAAACTTTAGTTTATTGAGTATAGTTACATCTTAAGACAAAAGCAAAATTTCATTTCCATTGTATCCCAAGTATCACTTGATATTATTTCTAAAATGCATGACTTAAGATAAACATTCACACGTTTCAAAGCAATGTGATGTACTTAAAGTATTCTAAAGTATTTTGATATTATTGGAAGTTTTTCAAGTATTATCTTCCTCATCGAATTTTACTCTGTACATTGTATATATTATGAATATATTTTCTTGAAAAAAAATTTCATATGGAATAACAAAATGAATTTATTGGATATTATTTATCTGTAAGTCTAATAAAATCGATTGAAACAAGTGCATATATCCAGGAACCATACACTTAAAAAAAAAAGTACGATAGACTATATTATTATATGTTGGATACTCAAAGAGAAAAACAACTACCTCTATACTCCATTCGTACTATAAAGACACTCAAACTATCCTATCTCTCGATCGTTTCAGCATCTTCTGTTCTCGCTTAATCAACATCACTAACATTTTAGTTTCGATTCATTTTATACTAAGCTCTTTTTGTAAAAACAAAGTTTGAATAATTAATTATATTTCATTAATACTTAAACCTCAAAGTATATAGTTATATTTTGATTCGAGACTAGATAAGATACATGAAAATACGAATAAAGTACGCCTAACTGAAACGATTGCTTCTTCCTTGAAGTATTCATGAAGAGTATTACAGAGCAAACTATTTCTAATTTCATCTACAGAAGTATTATTATTATTATAACAAACATTAATTTAGGATTGGTTATGAATTATCACCTGTGCTAGAATATGTAACGATCATACACAAAAATACGCGTTATTCTATGTTCAGATACAAGCAGTCACGGATGAATAAATAAATATTTATTTATTTCAATCATTTACTTCGTTTCTTCATTTTCCGTTTTTTTTTACTTGAGTTGATAATAGATAAAAAAAAAAAGGTACTCATATAATACGTCTATCCAAGTGTTATTCGTTTATCATTCAAAAGTAATCGAGCATGTGCGAGTCATCAAGGTTTTCATTATTTTTTTTAATTTTTTCATCTGTGAATTTAACCATAACCATCAGTAGAAGTTTGGTCAATTAGATGGATAATCGATCCTTATGGCATTTTGATCACACTTTTATATTTAATGATGTAACTGATAATGACAATACTTGAGACATTCTTATTTTTGAATCAAATAATTCATCTACTTATACTACAGTAAGTTTTTTTTTATATTGATAATGTCAAGTAGAAAGTATTTATCGAAAATCAACGAATCACATAATATATTTCATGACAGTTTATAATATGTTGTTTTTGTTAAACATAAATAACATTTTAGTTTTATAATCAATCTAAGAAACGATGGTGATGATAAAAAAATATCAAACAAAAATAAAAGTAGACTGTTAGTTTGATATTTGACAGGTAGAGAATATTTTTGCTATAGTAAAGAAAATAAATACATGCTTGTATGATGATTATTCGTTTTGAAGTCATCATATTCTCATGTATATATTTTATGAAAACTAGAAGATTATTTAGATGCTGTTTATCATGTATCAAAAATTTATGATAGACTGTGTATAAATGTATGATATTTCATTAGAAATTTCCAACTGTTATCGATACATTTCTTATAGAAGGACAAGGATAACGATTTCTTCAGAAAACTTTTCATTGAATACATTGTTCGGATTGCTAAATACCACTTGAGAAATGATTATGTCCAAAATGGATGGAAAATCAAAAAACAATCAAACGAAGAATATAGATCTAGCTAATGAGCATCATTCTCATTAGCTAAAAATGGTTTGTATTATTTTATACGAGAAAAATCTAATGTTCTTATAATTTTCAACTTCATTTATAACGCATATTTAACAAATAATGTTTCAATGCTTTTATTATAGATAAGAAAAATATCTTTTTTCTTGTGAATATATTTGAGTATTCATAAGAGAAGAAACAATTCAATATGATGAGTGAAAACATGGAAATTGATGTTTCACGTCGAAACACTCGTTTGATTATTCCTGATTCTAATGAGCCAGATATCTTCACTCCTATTGTTGGTTATGCTCAAGAACCAATTGTTTCACTGATTGATGCATGCATTCCATTGATTCCTATTATCCATAATATATTAACATATGGTTCAGCTGCTCTAAATCATACTCCAAACTTTCCATCTAATAATCTAACTCGTGATGAATCAGCTTCAATTTGCCTTTATTCAATGGAATGGAATGGTACAGAAAGAAGTCTTTACTCTATTCTTAATGAAACACTGAACAAAACTAATCGTGAAGGTTTACGACCATGGTTCAAATACCTTAAACTTTTTCTTTCTGCAGTGGCAAAAATACGGTGTGAACCTGGGCGTATTGTTTGGCGTGGTATAAAAAAAAATGTTAGTCATAATTTTCCTCGAGGAACTCGTGTGACATGGTGGGCTTTTTCATCCTGTACGGTAACACTTGCTGTTCTAGAAAATAATCTCTATTTGGGTGATGAAGGTCCGAGAACTCTCTTTTCTATTGAGACTCTCAATGCTAGAAATATACGAGACCATTCATATTATGCTAATGAAGATGAAATTCTTTTACTACCAGGTACATACATGGAAGTTCGATCAAAATTGAATCCAGCATCTGATCTACATATTATTCATTTGAAACAAATTGTACCAGATCAATTGTTACTCGAACCTCCTTTTGAAGGTAAATTGAACACTTTAAATATAATAAAAATAGAATGACGATAGTAAGAGAAATCATGTGGTGATAATCATAGAGTTGAGAGTATCGGAGTTGACTCAAAACTTCTGGTAAATTCTAGAGGACATTATATTAGTTGTTATCACATTTACACTTTATTTACATGTTGCATATATTCTCTAGAAGAATTATCTTTTGAGTAAGATGACTTTGGTTAAAACCTTCTGAAATCTGTGTTACGTATAATTTCCTTGTTTTCTTTGTAAAGATAGCATCTTATATGATGTTCTATGCATGTCAGTTGTATGGTCTACTTCGTGGTTATATATATATATATATATATGATTCGATTATTTATTGTATATCACATAGATAGATTGATAGTTACAAAAAATTAATGCTATGTACATTTACAAGAGTAGAAGAGAAATAACTCAATAAACAAAGCACACCAAAGTGACTAAATTTGATTTCACGTTAGATACTTATTTGAGCTGTCAGCTACCACAAGAGAAAGTATCTAATAAAAGATTTTATAATCTATGGTTTGATTAATTTAATGTTGCTGAAATACTTTGAAATTATATATTTTCAAGATTTTCCATTCTAAAATGAGAATGCAAAAATATTCTATCAAAATAAGAAGTCGATAAAACTTAATTAAATTCAACGTATCAAATCATTTTCAAATTACCGCTGCTCCTTTTATGATTAATTATTAAGAACATTATCTAAAGTGAGGTATAATTCTCTATTGAAATTAATATTGTTAGATATAAAGTGTATAAAAAAGACGTTCATTTATGAAGAAAAACTTGAGATCTTTTCTCTACCTCGTCTGCACAAACATTAGATAAATGGTTGTTTTTAGGAAACGTTTTATTTCCTATATGTTTTGTTGTCTGTAATTTTCTTTCCACTAAAATATATTGTATTCTTTAAATAATTTTGTTTTTAATTGAAATTTTTCTCTGTATAGGTGCACGAATTTATCCAAAGATGAAGTAAGTCTCAAAGTGTCTCTCCCTAGCTATATCTTTGAAAAACGTTTTCTTCCAGATCATCAAGAAATCGCTGGTTTAACAGAAAAAGCTTCACTATTCCAATAAGCTTCTTGACAGCCATCATCATCATAGCCATTGTCCTGGGTTTGACTTTGGGATCAAGAAATAACAAATCTAATATTTTTTTCGCTGCAAACATTACTTCTACTGAATTGACTACTTCAATTAAATCTACTGCTTCTATTAAATCTATTACTTCCATCAAATCTACCACGATGAAATCTGCTACTTCTACTCTTTCGCATACTTCCATTGAACCTATTACTTCCATTAGATATACTACTACTACTGAATATACTACTACTATTGAATATACTACTACTACTAGGTATACTACTACTATTAATACTACTGGATTTACCAATTATAAGTCAGGTATGTTATTAAATTGGCTTTTTAAAATCAAAGAAAAGTGATGAGCTGTTTTCAAAATTCACATCATTCTAGTTGTACTTAAAGGATCTCTTTAGAAACTATTTTCTTTTTAGTTTAGTTTATATAAATTTGACTGCTCTTTTTAGTTACTTTTTGATCGTACTGAGGTTTTTTTTATAGATATATCAATATGCAATCAAATCTGAAACAGTCAATAGCAAATACTCTTTAGCATCATCATAGAGAACTACTATACATTTGTGAAAAGAAAGTATACTAACATTTTTACACTAGTTTTACTATTATCGTTATATAAACAGAGAAGCATATTAAACATGTCGTAAAATCTAGTTAAAATAACTCTAGAAATACAAAAACATCTTATATTGAGGAATGGATCAACAAAAAACTTTTAACAAAGTAGAAATAATTCGAGCAAAATTAAGAGCTTGTAAGAGTGCCAGTGAATATATAGCTGTTAAAAATCATGATGAATCTTTTATGTGCATAAGATTTGGTTAGAAACATGAGTCCGCTAGCGATATAAACATTTGCATGAAGTAAATATATTTTATACCATCTGCTGCTCTGACAAAAAAAAACATTCTTAGTAATATTACCCAACAGTAACTGGTGTTAATCGTAATAAACATAATTCTATGTAAAAAAAACACTTGAAAATGTGTGACATGGCGAAGAAATCAGGATACAAGGTTACTTGCCATACTTCAAGGATAATTGTATGGACTATACTTACATTTAAAGAAACTAAACAAGGAAGACACTCTTGTTTTTTTTAAATTTTTAATTAAGTGTTATAATGAATTGAAATTTGTATCATACTTTAACCCTAGCATGTGAAATATATGATAAAATTTCCAGATTTTCAGAAACTTTTGTTATATCGTTAGCACCAAGTATTATGTGGACACGATTTTCAAGAAGAACTCATTAAAGGATTTCAAACTTTGGCAATCAGAACACATGAAGTAATTTATTTCAAAACTTGTTCAATGATCAGAATATATGAGACATGATAAATCAATAGAAAAAAAAATTTCGATCAGTAACAAATGAAATAGTTTTATATGACGAGTAACTTTAGAAAATTCCTTATAGAAGATATTTGATGACTAAAATTTTATAATCAAAGAGTTTGTATTTCTATGTTAATGTTAATCAAGACATGTATGTTTCAGCTTTGTCTTTTTTTCCGTAGATACTTGCATGTATCCTTATAAAGCAAGAAAGATCTACCCGACTGATGCCAATCCATCATTTATGATATCAGGAGATTTCAATAATGATAATAGACAAGATTTAGTTGTAGCTACGGGTGATAACCACAAAATTAACCTATTTCTTGGCAATAAAGATCAAATTTTGCAAACTTCAGTGACATATACTGTTGGTGCGTATCCATCTTCAATGACATCAGCTGATTTCAATAATGATGGCAAGTTAGATTTGGCGGTTACTAACTCGGGAAGTGCCTCTGTCAGTATATTGCTTGGATACGGAGACGGAACCTTCCGTAGACAAATAGTATATGTTACTGGCCAAAACCCATGTTCTGTAATATCAGCCGATTTAAACCATGATTACAACATGGATATAGTAGTAGTTAACAAAGGTAACAATACTATTAGTTTATTCTTTGGTTATGGAAATGGAAGCTTTCGAACTCCTATCATATATACAACTGTTAACAGTCCTGTTTCTGTAATATCAGCTGATTTTAATAATGATGCTAATATAGATTTAGCAGTTTTGAGTCGAAACGACAAAAATGTTAGCATATTATTTGGTGATCGAAATGGAACATTTCAAACTAAGACAACATTTACTGTTGGCATTGATCCAATTTCATTTATATCAGCTGATTTTAATAACGATAGTCAATTTGATTTAGCAGTCATTAATGCTGAAAGAAGTTGGGTCAATATGTTTCTTGGCAATGGGGATGGTACCTTTCAAACTTCATTGATATACACTATTGGTGAATATCCAAGCTATTTGATATCAGCTGATTTGAATAATGATGGACGATTAGATTTGGTGGTGTCTAATTTGTGGGGTGGACCTGTCAGTGTATTGCTTGGATATGGAGACGGATCGTTCCATAGAGCTGTCACGCATGCAAGTGGAGACAATTTGAACATGATGATATCGGCTGATTTCGATGATGATGGAAAACTAGATTTGGTAGTAGCTACCAGCAATGACAATAGGTTCATTCTATTATGTGGTAACGGAGATGGCACTTTTCTAAGTCAATTAACCCATCCAAGTGGTGTGTCTCCGATGTCTGTAACATCAGCCGATCTCAACAACGATAAAAAGCTAGATTTAGCAGTAGTTAATCGAGATCGCAATATGGTTGGTATTTTACTTGGTTATGGTGATGGAACCTTTGGAGCTGCGGCGACATATCCTGTTAGCAGCTATCCCATCTCCGTAATATCAGCTGATTTTAACAATGATAAAAGTTTAGACTTGGTAGCGACCAGTGCCGGTGACCACAGAGTTTGCGTATTACTTGGATATGGAGATGGAGAGTTCAGAACCCAAGTGAAATACGATGTCGGTTCATATCCACTCTCCATTGTTTCAGAGGATTTTAATCATGATGGAAATATTGATTTGGCTGTACTCAACGCCGGTGAAAGTACCTTCAGTGTTTTACTTGGAAATGGGGATGGAACATTACTCACTCAAGTAAAATATGAAGTACCCTCCTCTTTATCTGCTATGATATCAGCTGATTTCAATGATGATGGTAATCTAGATATAATAGTATCGAATAGAGATATGCAAAGNTTAACCATCTATCAGTCATATAGGCTACATCTTAACTTAGTATTTTGACAATATCTTGAGAAATGCAAAATACCACATCATGATATTTTTATCATAGATAGATATAGATTAGATCTTTAACATGCCACGAATATGTCAAGACCACGAGGCTATGGTCACTTTTTGAATCCTTGTAACAATGGTTAAAATAGAATAAAAAAGACTATATGGGACCATTGTTTTGACAGTATCTCACGAAAATCAAAATACCACATCGTATTTTTTTTATCATAGATAAAGGTAGGTTAAGTCATTAAAATAATAGAAGATATATGACATTAGTAGCTTTGATCTACCATTTTTTCTTCTTGAATCAATATACGCAATTCAGTTAATGATACAGCAACATTTTCATAGTCATAATCATCGAATGTCAAGAAAATGTCTTATAGTTTGTGTAGATACGCAAATATTTTAGTTTTGTAATGGATCTCAAAGATTATAGTAAGATGTTAAACGTTTCATAATCTGGTATTATCTTGTCAAGTTGATGAATTATATGATATAGAGTCTCACAAATTATCTCAAAGGACAAGCTCTAATCATTGAATGTGGAATTGTTGAGTGTGTTGTGAACTAACTACTTATAGAAAAACTTCATATTTTTTTTCTAGACAGGGATGTACTAGAATGTCTTGAAAAGATATATAGAATACCAATAGATTAGAATATGATATTATGATTCATCTGAATCTGTATTGCTGTCCTCGTTGGTATCATCAGCTTCATAATCGTTGTTAATATTGTGTTGGTTAATGATGTATCGGATATCTTCATCGTCATCTGTTTCATCATACCGTGAGTATTGCATGCTATCGTCAATAGCTCGTAATAATTCAATAGCTGAATAAGGATGTAATGTGGAATCGATTTCCCTCCTTGAACGCCTAAATGCCATAAAATGACTGCCACATGCACACAACAGCCTACTTCTCTGGATCCCGATGTGCAGGTACAGTAATAATCACGAATAGGATTTTCATTCGTTACGTCAAACTGAACTGTAGCCACGTGATGCTTTTGATTGGAATGACGAGATTGAAAGCGCACGCGAATCAAATCGTTTTGCGTAGGATATATTTCAACAACGAATTCGAGTTCATCTTCATTTAACAGAGTCGGTGTTAAATGTTCTCGTATGCAACTCTTAGCCATTCGAATTTGATAAGTACCTTAATGAAAACTATTAATGCTCTTGAAAGTGGAAAAAATGTATCTAACCGAAAGCTATATTGCGAACATCATCCTCTCTCATCGAAGGAAAGATGCACATGCGCGCTTCATATTTTTCCATATTAATTTTTTTTTGTCGTCCAATTGATTCAATCGATCTTGTAATGCATTCTTTTTGTGCAATCGCTCCCGCATTTGGATAGCCATATCATAGCCAGCATGAGTATCATTTGTGGCTCTGAGACAGAAGGCATTTATAAATGCACAAATTATATTTAATCTTGCAGCAATATAAGGTAAAGCAGAGTTTTGAATCGTATTATTAAAAAATTTCCATTGTTTTATTTTACCATTGACTAATCAAGCAGAAATGTATAGAAAAGTTTAAAATATTAATTCTTCAAAGAATAAAGATAAATGAGTTTTAATTTCTTAGAAAATAATGAACTTATTTATCTTTCTTTTGAAATATCGATTTTCGTCTTTGATTTATCCTTATTTGTTCGATGAAAGAAATATCGAAGAAAATTCAATAGTCTTAGACAAGTTTCATGATACAGTTCAATACTCACTACTGTCGATTACCCAGCGATTTGCTGTTACCAAACGTGATTTGTTGGCCTCTTCTGTTGATAGTTGAGCTTTCCCATTGAGAAAGCTGGGCATAGAAACTCGAAAACCAAGCACTTGTATAGTGGGAATTGCATCTCTAAACCCTCGATCGAGAAGAATAATGTCATCATCATGTAACCATTTTAAAATGTCTTGCTCATTATTTAAAAGACAATGTTTAATTATATTAGCATCGTTAATCTTATCATCGCCGAAGAAAGGTCCGAATACATTTAAAATATAACCATTCTACAAAGACAACAAAATTCTTATTAACGTTTTCTCTCTGTAAAAAAGAAGACATGCTTACGGTGATGGTAATGACCATAGGCTTTACGAGATGCCGATACTTATGCATTGAATAAGTACGACGTTGAAGTTCATTATCAGCAGACTTTTGTAAATATAAATATGTGCCGTTCATTACCACCACCACCACCTGTTGATTATTATCTGTCAATAGCGCATTTGCTATTGCCGCTTGATGATTTTCAAGTACAGATTGACGGCTAATATGCTTAAAACCGAGATGAGCTGGGACAAAATCCTTAAGCAAAGTATCATTGACCTGATGTACAATTCGAGATACTGCTCGTTTGCTATGAATATGAAACATAGTGGCCAGTACATGGTTGCTTAATCCAAGACGCATCTTAGCACAAAAAATGGCAATTGCCACACGAATTGAACGGAGTTTTGAGTTTCGCATCGACTCGACTCTAGTAAAAACATTTTCAAATTGGTCTATAAAAGCATGTGATAAAATAAGATAGGAAGATATTTTATTAATATTTAGTCTACCTTTCCGAAGACTCGTGATATTATAATAGTCTTTATCATTTAATGAATATGGATCATCAGAATCGAACGTTTTTTGACTTTCAAGCATTAGACGAAAGTCATTTAAAATCTCCTGTAAACGATCGGCATTGCATACGAGCTGATCTACTTGATCAGCACGAATTCGGTCCAAAGCGTCAAAACTAATTTGCCGGTTATAAAAATGATCATGACAACAGTGACAACCATTAGGAATCAAGATTCCTCTTTTTATAAAGATTAACATACGCTGTTGTTTGGACAATACTTTAGCAGGTTGATCGCGTAACCCGCAAACTATACACGATCTGAATTTAACAAATGGTATATATTAAAACTCAGACAACCAATTCTTCAATTACCTGTGTGACTTTGTACAACGTTTGACAGCAATACTAACATGTGATGCATTAGATTCTAGTTCAGTTTGTGCACCAATTTCGACTCTACCTTCACTATTATTATAATCAGCATCGATCTCCATGTCCTTAGCAAGAAGAAAATTTGTAAAAATCAGAGCATTATTAACAAAAAACTAACATCTTCAATTTTACTATCACCAACTTCAGAACATGATCTAAAATGATTAAAATCTCCTTCAATTTTTTTCAACCAGTTCAAGTATTTCATCCGACAATCATTGCATCCTGAATCATCCTTATTAATCCGTTTTAACGATCGTGCCGATAGAAAAAGCTTCCATAAACCATCACCCGCAAAATATTTTCGATTTGAACCAATATTTGCACTGCAAGTAACACACTTCGAACGTTCCTCTCTTGGCATCCTTTACACTTTATATAATAAAAATAAAACGTCTTTTATCACTTCTCTAGGGTCCAGGGTACAAGACAAAAACATGTCTAGACATATGACCGATAACATAAGACCTATATGAACATAAACATATACTTCAAATATATACATATGTGACCGGACAAACAATAGTTATTCATATGTCCAAAAGAATGGTGCTTTTTTTTATTCCATTCTGTCTAGCATAATTCTACTATATCCTACTCTATGAAAAGATTAATGTTCAATTTTTCTTTCCAAATGTTAACATCATTTTTTGATCTCCTGAGTATGTCATTCTGAAATAAACTATAAAACTTGATATCATCATTTTTCAAGTTTACGCAACAATAACTCATAATGACACTTTTAATATCTTATCATTATCTTTCAACCCTTTAAAAAGATTAACAAATTCGCTTAGGTATCAAAATTATAACACTATCTGATGCATGTTCCAAATAGTTAAGATCATGCCAATATTGCTTTTATTTCAATAAACTAGCAATGTTGATTAAAAGTAAAACAAAACTCCTTACAATCAAAGTACAACTGTCATACATCTTCTATTATTTTAATGACTTAACCTACCTTTATCTATTATAAAAAATCATGATGAGATGTTTTGCTTTTCTCAAAATATTGTCGAAACAATGGTCCCAAATAGTCTTTTTTATTCTATTTTAACCATTGTTACAAGGATTAAAAAAGTGACCATAGCCTCGTGGTCTTGACATATTCGTGGCATTTTAAAGATCTAAACTATATCTATCTATGATAAAAATATCATGATGTGGTATTTTGCATTTCTCAAGATATTGTCAAAATACTAAGTTAAGATGTAGCCTATATGACTGATAGATGGTTAATAATTTGAAAGACTACCAAGCTTGCTTGGTAATTTTCTTATCAAGTGTTTAGAAGATCGACATGTATTGATGGTTAAGTAGATTCGCTACAATTTGACGCGATTTTAATTGATGTAAGTTATATATATGTATATATGGGTTCCTAGTCTGGAGAGTGAATATGGTAAAAAAGACAGAAAAATGCTATACAAAGACGGATCAAAATGACTGGTAAAAATACATTTAAGATATATCAAAAACAGCACCAAAATGTTCGCCGTGCTGAATTCTATCGATCTATATAGTTTTCAGAACGGTTTGTCGAAAAAAGTCAGTGGGCCGATTTGTGACCTAATGCGCCCACCTCCTTTCAGAAAGCAATGGCCAACTACGAGGAAGCTTCTTCTAAAAATTTCAGATTGATCCATTAAAGTTTCACTCAGTTATGAATTTCATAATGATATCACATGGTTTTCCTGTATATCGATGATTACAGTAAAATGATCATAAGTCTTCAACAACTCGATAAAATTTAATGAAATTTATACTGGAGATAGTTTCAATGCCGGGCTCTCGAATAAGAAGTTCCGCAAAAATAAACGTCTTATAATAGCTGAGATATAGCCGTCACAAGGTGAACCCAATGTTCAATGGATTACTTCATTATACAGCAATCGATTGATGCGGGGTTGGTGCTTGCGATTAGGGTTAATTATGACTCGTATGTATCCAAAATATTAGCTCAAAATCATTCAAATTAGTATCACTCCAGGAGGGAGGGGGCGAGTGTTGTTACTTTTGTCCAGGACTGTATATAATTTATATATCAATATACATACGATTTCCCATGTAAATAGGAATAAATTTACATTTAGTTTTATTTTAAGATATGTATAATTTATATATGCGTATATTATACAGGGTCTCCCATGTAAATAAGAATAGCTTTACATTTACTTTTAGTTTTAGTTTAAGATATATATAGGATCTCTCATGTAAATAGGAATAGATTTACATTTACTTTTAGTTTAAGATTTATATATTTTATATATACATGTATGTATATATATAATATATATGAGGGTGGCCAGTCTGACCGAAGATCCCAATTCTTTTTTTATCATCCTGCTTCTATAGTATTTCAGAAAAATATGACTTTTTTACCTGTTATAGTACTCATATAATACTGATGATTTGTCAAGTATAAGACGCTCATACCTTATTTAAACCCAAAATAATCAAAGGCATCATAAAAAGCTTTTTGCTCTTTATTAATAGATTTTTTGAAGACTTTGATTATTTTGGTTTTAAACAAGGTATGAGCGTCTTATATTTGACAGATCATCAGTATTATATGAGTACTATAAATGGTAAAAGAAAGTCATATTCTTCTGAAATACTATAGAAGCAGAGCGATAAAAAAATAATTAGGGTCTCCGGTCAGACTGGCCAACCTCATATATATATAAATTATATATGCCTTGAACTATATCTACATCTATTCCTATTTACATGGGAGGCCTTATATATATATATTTATATATCAATTGTTCATTTATTTTCGAATTGATAGCGAGCAGTTGAGATTTCATTTATATTCGAACTCGAATTAAGCAACTCATGTAAATTCGAATTATAAAAATTATTTCTTTTAGTTTTTTTTCTATTCTAACAGGGAGTGTATTCGAATTATAAATTCGCTAACAGATAAGGTTGAAATCTTATTCTTTTGCTTTTCTACTGTCTGAACATGGAAGCGGCTTTTTCTTTTATTTTTCATTTATTTTCGAACTCAAATTTGACATCTATTCGGTGTTCGTCTATTGAACCAATCCAGAAACCCGAACACATACGATTATACATACACAGGCGACATTGCACGGCGTGTGGATGCTGCAAAAAGACTGACCGATAGGACGAATAATAGAATAGTTCAATAATTGAATATATTTACTTCAATTATTTAATACTTGAATAGTTGAATATATTCACTTCGTCTATGTCATAATTGAATAGTTGAATATATTTACTGCAACTAGATTCAATAATTGAATTCAATTTTCAGGTATGACACTACTGCTTACTTCGAAGTTTCTTTCGATTGGTATGCCATAAAAAGTCTCTATTATTATCTTTACTAAAAACTCTGCTATATAATAACGCATAACTGTATCCTACTGAATCTATTTCGAATGTATTATTCTATGAATGTCATTTTCTTGTTAGTTTAAAATAAATTTAAATTATCGATAATTTAATTTATTTTAGTTTTGAATTATTTGAACTTCTTAATAAAAAAATAAGATATATATTCTACATTAAGTTCCAATAAAGGTAGAATAATTTAGTTTAAATTTATTTTAAACTTAAATTTCTGATAATTCAATGTATGTATAAACGAAATTGACTGTAAATATAAATTGACACTCCTAGTAAAAAAGGTCTTGAGATTTGCTGAAGAAATCATAATTTGTATTAAGAACTTTTTGGTTTTTCGTTGAAGTGTCCTTACTTGAAAAACGATGAATTTCTATAAATTGTGCGATCGAATTAAACATAAGAGATGGCATGAACTTTAATATGTACTATATTTTGGTGATGTTTCTGACGTGATATATCTGCTTTATTCATTTTTTATAGCATTTTAAGCTGCCATTGGAGTTGATATGGATCCATTAAATATTATAATGGTTATCTATAAGGTGGGAGCATCTATTCAACAGGCTGTTAAAAACGTCAAAACGAATAAGCAACAATGCCGACGACTAGAAGAAAGAATAAATGCTATCAATTCGGCCTTGGAACCATGGCGTACGCAAGTTCCACAAAGAGAAGAGGTTATAGCATGCTTGAATAACTATTACAAATGCATCAATGAATGCTGTGAGTTCATTACTGAGTTTACAGATAAAAAGTCATGGTATTCTATGGTTTTCAAGAACCAAAATTATAAAGACCAATTTAAAGCATTGAATGGACAACTTAAGGAATGTGCCACTGATTTGAATTTATGTATTAACATGAAACAGATATTTGATCCTCAAATAGATGAGAAGGATCAAAAAACAGATCTAGATGTCATTCAAGGTAAACTTAATGAAATTGCATCGATCCTGGTAGAACAACAAACGGAACAACTTCGTCACTATGAATGGATTGAACAAAATATTAGCCAGCGATTTAAGTCATTCAAGATTCATCTCCAGCAGAATATTGACCGAATACATGACCCTGTCAAAGCTCAGGATTTTGTTAAGGAAGAACAAGCTTTTCTCCATATTCCATATCACGATTTGATACAAGGAACACTTATCGGACAGGGTGGATTTGGTGATGTATATCGTGGAAGATGGCTATCTCGCGATCACGAAGTAGTCATAAAAAAGGTTCGAATTCAATATTTACATGACAACCATAGAAAAGACTTAGTCAATGAAATTTCTATGATGTATCAAATCCGCTACGATCATATTCTTAACATATTTGGTGGTTGCATGGAACCCGAAAACTATGCACTAATAGTTGAATATATGTCGCTTGGTTCCCTCTACGATGTCCTCAAAGAGCAAACATTACAACTGTCATGGACTGATCGATGGTCAATTGCTTATCAGATGACCAAAGGCATCAATTATTTGCATAAACTTCAAAAAGCAATTATCCATCGCGATATTAAGTCACTCAACATTTTACTGAAAGAGAATGGGAAAGATTTTCTCACCAAAATTGCTGATTTTGGTCTAGCTGAAATACGTCACGAAACGATGCGTCAATCATCCTACAATCCTTTTGTTGGTACTTTGCAATGGAAAGCACCCGAGTTATTGGAAATGGGAAGGCATACAGAAGCTAGTGATGTGTATGCACTTGGCGTTGTGCTCTGGGAATTAGGTACAGGATGTGAAGCATACAAAGGAGCTGATGCTCAAACAATCGATACATTCGTCCGACGAGGAGATCGACTGAAAATTCCTATAAATATTCCCAAGTCATTCTCAGACATAATTTCGAGAGCTTGGGCACAGGAACCTCTACAGAGACCAACCTGTCAACAGCTTCTCAATTTAATGAAAGATGTCTCTTCCGAAGTCGCTATAAAAGAAAAACTAAAGGTAAGAAACTATAAACTTTAACTTTCTTCATGTCCAGTTTTCCATGTGATTGAAGAAAAATATACTTACATACGACTTAGAAATTTTCCCAACGCTGATCATCTTTCTACCACAGTTGCATAAAAATCGCCTAGATATTTAACAAGTTAGGCTTTTTATGGAGCTGAACCGTCAATATATCATGTAAGATCCAAAAGTGTCAGAATAGCTTTCTATAGAATTGTTCTTGATATCTCAAATTTAGGTGTTAAAAATGTATCTTATCTCTCTCTAGACTGCTGCTGCTAGTACTGATCGAAGAATAGTTGAAGAAGCCACAACTGGAAGTCTTTCACCACAACAACACAGTACAAGGTACATATTAGTATTCTCTGCTGATGGTGATTTAACTTTTGTCTATTTATTCTAGCTCTACAAGATCGAATGACACACGAAATGCAACAAGTAAGACTCCAAAGCATTGTTGTTTCGAAGTTCTTTTCTAATAAATTCATTATTCTATATGCATATGAGTATTTGTAATCCATTGAGAATCTAGATACATAAGAGGTACACTTGATCGTTAAATAATTTTCTTTCGCACATATATGTTATTTATTACTTGGTCTAGGTATATTTCCAGATGCCCAAATAACTCCTCTAGTAGAGAGAGTCATATTTGATATAACTGTCTGTCATCATACTTTCATCATACTATACCAGAACGAAAAGTATAGCATAGATATTGATTAGCGGCATGAGAAATAATAATAAGCAATCAGAAATATCACCAATCAATAGACAATCAATGTAAATGTTCTACATGATAAATAGTAATAATGCATCAAAATCGACTGATCTTCAAGATGAATGGATATGGGTGCGGGTGTAAGGTACATGGGTTAATGATGACAAGATGCACACCTCACAGTCACGCCACACCCATCTTGCATACCTCTCCTTAAATAGGTAATATCGTCTTTCTGCGTTAACAACTGTACTCACATTCTTGTTTCTACTTCGTCGATTAACTCTTCTTTCAGGTTCACTTCCGTATAATAATCCAAAACTCAATCGACAAATCAACCTATGTTCGATGCGTTCGAAAATGGATTTGAGTGAACAAAATTTGAACGATCAAGACATGAATATAGTCGTAGAAGAAGCACTGATCGAAAAACAATGTACGGAACTGATGTTACACCATAATCAGATATCATCACAAGGCATATCGATCGTAGCCGATGCACTGCACAACAACCATAAATTGGACTATTTGGAACTTTGGGACAATTTTGTGTCTGACGAGGGTGTACATGCTGTCACACAAGCACTTACACTCAATGATAACAATATCACGAGACTTGGTCTCGGCACCAACGGCATTACAGACAAAGGTGCAAAAGATCTGGCTGATATGCTCAAAAAAATACAACACTAAATTGGCTGGGACTACACAACAATTGTATCGGTAATGAAGGAGTTCAACTGATAGCTGATGCACTCAAGGAGAATCACAATACGAAACTCGAAAAGTTGCATATCTTCTCGAACAAGTCGGTGAACGACATGTGTGTCGATTCCCTCGTTGCCATGATCAAAACCAATCAATCATTGAAGGAACTCCTCATCCATGACTGCAATCTGTCGGAAAGTGGTAAAGAAAGACTTCCACAGGCGAATAAATCAAGAAAACAAGAGTTAAATCTAACAGTGTAACACTTTATTTTATCGCTAAAACTAATTGAAGTTCTTACAGTGCGATGTAGCATTAAGACTTATCCATTAACTCATATGTTATCCTCTATCACCTTTTCATCTCTTTATCACCTTTAATAGTTTGCTCTTTCTTCTCGTTCTCCTACATATACAACATTTATAGTTTAACCTACAATGGAAGGCTGTATGTTGTAACTCAAGAATATCCGAGATATTCTGATCAAATTAAAGGCCTCACAACTAAATCCACAAATATAAAATATGATGTGCTTATGGCGTGCTAGACCGAAGTACTCGAGTTTTAAGGTATTGATCGTATGTGTGTAATATTCAGTTCAAAATTTCAAAACAGCTGTTTTTGTATTCTTTTTCATGATGGTTGGATAGAACTCATCAAGTCACACAAGAAAAAGCCGTGATTCAAATTCAATAAGCTAAATTTACAAAAAGTTTAAGATACTATTATTTTGAAGTAAGAGAATAATTATGCTGAAATTTTTAAGTTACTTAAATTTTTCTTATAAAATTTGAAGCATAACCTTTTCTTATGCAACTTGGTGAGCTCTATCCAACCATCATGAAAAACAATCCAAAAAGCTCTTTTGAAATTGTGAATTGTAAATATCACACACTTACGATCAGTACCTCAAAATTTGAATATCTCGGTTCAAGCACGTCATATTTTAAATTTGTGGGTTTTACTGTAAGAATTTTAATTTGACCAGAATATCTCCAATATTCTTGAGTTACAACACCCGTCCTGCTATGATTAGTTTTTTTCTCTTTCTAAAATAAAGATCGTGTGCAACGACATTCACACACACTCACATATATGCATGATAATATATACATGCGAGAAGGACAGGAGAAAAATCGATAATAATTGACAAACCTGATAAAACATTAACGTTAATAAACGAGAAAATTTTTATACTTCATTTCAATTATTTTAACATTCATATTAATCAGACCCTATATTCCTGTTGAGACTCGGCCTATGCCGTACGATAGAGATGGAACCAGTACCAGTAACCGGCCGGTCAGGTCTGGTACCGGTCTGGATTTTGAATCGACCAGTCTACCAGTATCTACCAGTCTGACCGGTCGAAACCGTCTTATATCGGTCTATATTTTTCACTTTCCTACTCTATGATGGTGTTCATATGAAAAAACAACTGGCACCAAGACTAGTTTCACTGATCACACAGGAATTTATTTAATAAACAGTTTTCAGAATTCCCATCACTAAGACTACTGTAATCAACGGTGAAACATTATACCAGTATGCGTAAAAGTACGAGGGTAGCCCGCAAGAGATTTCACTATGAAACAAGGTTTCATTTCAAGCCTCAGCCTGTTGTTTGTAGATCGATATTTTGTCGGTAGGTTCGATTTTCTCTTTTACACTGACGTATCATCAGCATCCTGTTTAGTACTGGTAGGCTAGTTTTGGTCAGCAGACCAGTCAGATCAACTTTTTCCAGTGAACCAGTTTCGGTCGGTAAATCGGTTTAGACCGGTTTTTACTGGTACACCGGTTCCATCTCTGGCCGGAGATACATTAAAAAGAAGTTTCACTGTAAGAATCAACTCAGGTCAAACAAACAGACGGTAAGATCTTACATGATCCTACATCTGATCTTGTAGAATCAGACAAAAAATCGTACGAAAATCGTGGCCTCAGAACTCTTACATCAAGTCGAACCTTAAGATTCTTGACAGATCTTGCTGTTCTGTAAGATATTACTGTAAGATTATAGAAAATCTTTTATCACAATGACATCTTATAAGAATCTTATAGTGCAATTTGATGTAAGATTTCTGAGACCACGATTTTTTGTACGATTTCACCTGATCGTACAAGACTTGATGTCTGATTTTTTGACCTGGAGATGTATTATTGGTAAGCCAGTTTTATCAGCTGATCCGGTCCGGCCTGATTTCGTTGGACCGGTACCGGTCTGAAAAAAACTAGACCGGTTCCATCTCTGCCGTACGAACCGATCAAAAACCGCCGGTTAACCGCAATCAACCGACAGTTTTCGATCGGTTCGTACGACATGGAAGAGAAGTATTCGTATCAGAAACTCATTATAAAGCGACCTGGAATTCATTTTGACACAAGTCGTCTAAAAAAAGACTCGATTTATCGTCTCAACATTGAATTATACATTTGGCATACATAACGATTACTTTTTATTCATTGAAATGCATATGAGTAAATCGTATTTTTTAAAAATTTTCAAACACAAAATTCATGATGCATTTTTCTAAAAATATTTTTAAAAACGAGGAAAGAAAAACAAAATAAGTTATTGAATTCTTATTGCTTGAAATAATTAAAATCCGAAATGCTGAGAAAAGTTTCGTTCATTCACTTGTTTCTTTGCATTTTTTATTTCTTATTCATTCGTTTATTTGTCTTGATATTGCTCATTTTATTCACAAAACATTCATAAGGGCTACCGGATCAGAATTGCAAGTCAAAGAAAATACTAAAAACCTATAACCACATAACCTTACTACTAATCCATCGTCTCCTTTATTAGCCCAACCATTTTGCATTATAAATTCAACATTACATTTGAGAGACGTTTCACGAGAAAACCGAAAATTTTCGAATATGGAAAAACATCAGGATTAACCGATTTGGAATGTTGAACTCCATAGAAAGTCAGTTCTTGATATACCATAGAATAATCCGAAGTATTATGGCTTAAAGATCTACTCTTGGTCAACTATGGCAGACTGACCTGAGATAGTCCCCAAACATACCGTCAAACAATGCCTATAATTGACCTATCAATTTTTGTGAATATTTTTCTAGAAATTGTTCCACTGTTCAAATTGAGTCGTATACCAATCGATAGAGCTTGACTTACTCTACAAAACTGTGTATATAAAAATATCCTCCATCAGCTTAGATAATACAAGAAGGGTGTTGGCATAGAGGTGGGTGTCAGTGCGTGGATTACGGTTTCGATCAGACTACACAAAATATCCACTCTCATGTCGACACTCACATTTACATCCATGAATCAGTGACAAATTGTTCTAGCACCGGCTGACTGCTCTTTTATCAATCATATATTCATTACTTTGTGAAAGATTCAAAGGTCGATTTGTATTCGATTGATTTATGTAATCAGAACATTATTCAAATTTATTTAAATACATTAATGTTTTGAGGAAGTCGTCAGTATTTCTAAAAATTTACAATTTTGTTGATATTTATTATTGGGTTGAGGTTCCTAATAAATCATGGTGTACACTACTCAACATAATTATTGTCTCAAAATATTTGTCCAGTATTAAATTTAATATTTATCTAAAAGTTCGTTAAGAATTATTGCCTATCAATTTCGTTATGAAAACAATCTTATTCGAGATATGATTTTCTATCCCACATTACTCGGAATAATATCTCGATGAAAATTTAAACATTACAAATAATGTTCAATTCAAAGTTTTACATTCTTACAAAATCTACAATATGCTTTAAATTTTCTGCAATCAGCAACAGTGCCAACCAAGTCACAGCAAAATTGAACAATTGCCTGAGCATCTTTAAAAAACCGAATTGCATCCACCTTTTTTATATTCTTTCATTTACGTATTTTCGTTCCCTTTAATATCGTTCGTTTTCGAAATTTTGTTTTGTGCTTATATTTAAAAATGGCATGTATTTAATTCATCAGTATTTTATAAAGAATTCTCAGAATGTTTTTTATCAAACGATCAGTACTTCATTTTCTTTTGATCAGTATTCAATAATATTTTGTTCAGTTTTTTATTAACTTATTCCAGGAAAAATAGTATAATTACAAGAAACAGAAATTTATTGACTCAGTAACGTTTATTTTTTGATTTTTGATGGTCTACCACGATGTCTCTTTTCATCAATTTTAACATCTTTAGCAGCAGGTGGTGGTTTGCAGTTATCTAATCTAATTGCCATACTAGCAACATGCTTACACATAAGATTTTTTTTAAATGCTGGACAACTTCAGACACCATCTAGCCATTTTAATTTAACTACTGATATATAGCGAAGGAAAGGACTGAAAAGAAGAAAAAAAATATTTTGACAGATGATGTCATCATCAGTTAACGAGGATAACCATTTTTCTATTTACACCAAAATATTTTCATCAAAAAATAAAAATGATTAGTGATAGAATAGTATTCATTTAATGAGTAAATAAACTTTTAAATGAGCAAACTGCTTGCGTTACTGATATTTTAATTGCAATATTGAACAAATTATTAATTTACTGAGCAACCCTAATAGTCACTGAACATCTAATTTTACACTGATAATTTTACTTCTGTACTGATAATTTGTATATCATACTGAGCCATTTTTACAGATCATTTACTAAAAAATACTGATCATTTAATTTGTATTCTTTAAAAATGTAATGTAAAGCACTGATGAATGTTTTAATATTTTAATAAATAACACGAAACGCGGCCGCGAAATTAACTATGAATTGTTTATTATTTTTATATTAAGTACATTCATTCTAATTATAAGCACTTCGACAGAAAATCAATTGTTGAGAAGGAAGAATTGAGACTAGCAGATTGAACTTGCCGTTTCTTTACGAGATAGGTCGATCTATTTTTCAACTAAATTGAAAAAAGATTGATGCATTTACAAAACCTGCAGAAGTTTTTCTACAGGTGTATTCGAAGAAGTCTTGCTAAAATTTTTCTTAGATTATGCTACCAAAAGAATACTTTCCAAAAGATATACGAAACATTCACAATCTCACTTAAAACTTATATTTTTTTTGTAGAGATCTAAAAGATTTTCATACGAATGACTCTTCTATTGTACCCAAACGAAAGTACACAGGTTAGTTCTAGTCGGCAAACTTATCAAAATGGACGAAACTTGGAACTAGAAATACAAGGATCTACCTTTGAGATATCGATCTTCTCTTTATACGCACTCGAGGAACATTAAGCGATTGGTTTTTAAACCCCAGTCTCACATAACTTTATCGAAATCCGACATTGACAGAATTATTTCTGGATTGGCACTATTCTTTTGTTACTATGTGACAGTTAGAATAATAATTCTTCATATTTTATAGTGATACAACATCCATCGGAAACATAAAAATTTGGTGCTATCATTTGCTCAATTGATGAGCGACAAGTACTCAATGGTGATTAACTCAATGACCCATCAAAGATAACAAGCATCATCGGCTTTTATATTATTTTTCAGATGATAAAACTTCAAACTATCTAAATAATTGCATTCTCGAATTATCCATGAAATAATTCATTAAGATTCTATTGCTAAAGGAATGACACAATACCATATTTGATGCTTTGTGAAAAAAAGTTTTAAAACCTTATGGTAAAAATTCTCCTGGGAAATATACGAAAAGATGATAAAATTTATCAACGAAACTATCATTTTTTTCTCAAATTTGATCCCTCTCTCATAAAAAAGACGTTCAAAAAATAATAATAAAGCCTATTTTGTGAAGAAAAAAAAAGTATCTATGATTTGAGATGTTTCAAGCGTCAAAGCATCAAACAACGGAGGAGAAAAGTGCAAAATACGACTAGAATTGAAAATGGCAAATTTTTGTTTTGTATTATGATTCGAAGTTTTGAAGAATTGTGATTCTTTCTATTTGAATTTTCATAAAAAATTTCGGTAAACATTCGAATGAATTAATCAAACTCAAAATCTCAAAACTTTGTCCCAACTGTCATAATCGGTCTTCTTTTCAATTTCATCAAATTTTTTTTGCCTAGAAAGAATGATTCCATACGAAAGTCGAGTGCACACCTTGAAGTGTGCTCAATACATCGCGAAGAAGAGAAAGGAAGAAAATTAGAAAGACTTTGCCATCATAAATACATGATTGAAAAGCAGTTCGGCTATTCACTGTACTCTTGGTAGTCATTTGCCTCACTCATCATAAAATATAACGGATCAGTTATAAAATGTACTTGAATAATTATGACTTAATCAAAGAGAAACTGATTGTATTGAAATTTGGTAGATTTAATGTAAGGCTTTAACAAATTCACTTCCATCGTTTCGGTCTACATAGGAAGGAAATATTACAAAGTGGCAATCAAAACGGAATTGTCTAACGCAAAGTTTTCATTTTTTTTCTTTGTGTCTAAAATGGCAGGAAAGATCTTGACGAATAAAATTAGACTAAAATTGAAGAAGTTTAATTTTGTTCGTTGAATTGTCAGGTTTATTATATTAGATGTGATCACTTAACAACTGTCGAGATATGAATAGTCACGAGCTGAAACAAAATATTAACGAAAAAAATTCAATTTGCAACCAATACATCATTTCTGTTGTTTATTTTATTTTGTCATTGTTTTTTTTCAATTCTCAAACCTATGCGTATCGATAACTATTCAGTCTTCGTCATCATTGATACGTAAAGAAAAAAGTGACGTTTCTATTCGAAAAAAACACATGTTCACTCGTTATTATATTTTGTTATTTTTCAAAAAAACAACCTTGAAGATCGGCGTACACTTACACTCAACAGAACTCTTGAAGCCTTTAAATGTGTGGGCTTTCACGTGCAAAAAACATCGTTTTTTCTATACTTGCGTGACTGAATTATCTTCAATTTTTTATCTTTGCTTATGCGCCTCAAGAAAGGTAACATACTGCACACTACTAATACAGATAACGGTCAAGAAAGAGAAAAAGGCAATTTTGGAAGATAGATAATTATTCACCTTCATATGCCCGTAAATCAACGAACGAAAAAGAGCATAGGTGTAGGTCAGAGGCATATAATTAACTTCAATCAATCGAAACGAAAAACATACAGAGAATCAACTACAGCTGGAATAATGTTGGTATATCTTGTTTGTAATTTCTCACTTCTAAATCAATTTATACAGAAAACAAATAAATAAAATTTTCATTCAAATAGCAAGAGTCTTATATTTGCATATTTCTGTCGACATGCATTATTGATTTGACAAAAAAAGAAATTGCGACTTATAGAAAAAATAATGCATACAGAATGAAACAACGTATGATTCATAAAAAAAAAAGGTATACATATAAAAGAGAATGTGTCAGGTATACTTGATATTTTAATGTGCACGATTAAGCAGTATTAACGTCGTATTTATAGTTTTTTTTTGTTTTATCACCTGGTGTTTGTAATTAGTGTTGTTGAAAGATTTTCTGAATTTTCTAATATTAAGAGTTTTTCAATTGCTGTTAGTGCAGGTAATTACATATTGTTATTTTTGTTATTTCGCTATATGATATAGCATTTGTGTTTTATATGTATTTATCTAGAAAACTTCTGACATTTCATCTTTTACTTCAACAATGTCTGCAACCGATGCTGACGTTTACCGTCTTGTACCATACAGATTTCTTTTAAATGAATCACATTTAAACATTTGTAAATTGGAAAAATTAACTAATTTATTTCCTGAAATGAAAAAAATTATTGAATTAGGTATATGACTTCAATTAACATTTAAAAACAAAAAAAAACTAAAGATTATTTCTTCTTTTTTTTTTTGTCTGTTTTACTAAGAATTATTCAAAATTAATAATTTATCACATATGGTTGATCGTCTTTCGAATATTTATAAAGTTTCACCTGTTGCTGATAATCGTGATGATACTCTTCACCTGTTTCTTGGTCCTTATCATCTTGAACTTGGTCCAGCTATATTTGGAGCACTTCATTTTAGAAATATTTCGACAGCATTACTTGCTTCATCACATTCAAAATCAAAAATTGATAGTACTACCCAAAATCATAAACGTCGACGTGAGGCTGTACTTCGTCGTTTTCGCCGTACTGTACGAAAACTAATTCTTATTAAATCAATTATTGATCAAGTTCGGTTCGCATCTGTTCTGACACCATATAATCAATATGAATTATACAGACGAGGTATATATGACCTTGTATTAGCGGGACATATACATGGTACAAATACAGTATTTTATGATGAAGAATTTATTGAACAAATAAGTAATGTTCGTTTGATGGATAATTCAGACAAGGAAAATCCTTTGCTTGCATCTAAATTTATAAAAATTAATAGTTTACTCAGTTTACTTTCTCCGCCATTGTCTCAACAACAATCTGATAATAACCCAATGATAGATAACATAACAAAACCTAGGTTAGACAATTCAATTACTTATAAAGCTGATGAAAAGCCTTCAAAACCTTTCATTAATTCCAAAGCTCTGTGTTGTTCACAACACACTAACAATCAACATACTCTTATGTTTCCTGTTAGCCGATCAACTAATTATCATTCTAATCAATTTTTGTCACATGAATCACCTTCAAGACGTAATAGTAGTCAAAATTTACACAAAAGTTCAGTGGTTTTTTTAAAACAAAGTTCGGTAAGTTATATGTATATATATTACAGTGAAATTAATGTGTCTGTAAAACATTGGAACTCCTATTTTATGAAAAATTTAATTCATTTAATAAAATCAAAGTTTTGTTTTTCTTTCTTTCTGTTGAATAGACAGCTAGTCTTCCTGATTTAACATATGAACCAATGCTCTCATCAAATCCTTCTGTACTTGAATCAAACAATTCGAAAGATATTTCATCTTCTCAAGAGGCCACTACTAATCAAGAAGATGCACTCATTAACAATATTTCGTCTCTTTTAATAAATTACTTCTCATCTCAGCAATCAACATCAATGTCATCCGATACTCATGACAATCACAAGATATTGAATAATAACAAAATTTCTTCTACACCTATAGCAGCAACATCAAATAATTCTGATATATCCAACCAATTGTCATCAATAATTAAGACTAATGACTTTGATAAACTATTACAACGCATCAAAACAGTTGTAGATAATTCTGTATCTATGAAAATTCAAAGTAATGATCAGAATTTTCAACCAACTAATAATCATCAAAATTTACCCTGTAATTCTACGAAAACAACAATACAGCGTCATCGTCAAAAATTATTTGGACTACGTACTGTATCTTGTCAAGAAACGTCTACAAATGAGTTCAATGTTAAACATTTGGATTCATCGAACAATCAATACGAATTAGATCTATTATCAACATTAAAATCCCTTGATAAAGCTAATTTGAGTAAGATTATTCTTTACTAGTGTAATATCTAAAAATTCGTACTAACATTTACAATTCATCAAACTTGTTATTGCATGGTTTAAGGGTACCCCCTCCACTTTCCTCGCCCACAAATTTTGTTTTTTTTTCATTTTTTGCTTTTTGTGGCCATTGTATAGTTTCAAGTAGTGTCTATCTATTGACTATATTTTGGAACCCAACAATTGCCTTTAAAGATTAAAAAACTCGAGAAAAAATCAAATTTACATAACGAAAATAGCTAAAATTGTATTTTTTTTTGTATTTTTCTCAAAATCAAATTTTTAGAAGAAAAGTACTGTTTCGCTCCCGTTTCTCCGACATGGTAAGAGAGATCGAGCTGAAACTTTTTTCACATGTTCTAGTCACTATTTGGGGTGGGTTTTTGTTTTTCTTTTCAAGAATTATTGCTCTGGTGATTTTTGACAACTTTCACAAAATTTGCTAGAGGAATAAAAACAAGCGTTTTTTAGGGTAGACTCGGTATTTTGACTTTTTTATTGAAACAACAAAAGATAAAAAGAAACTAAAAAAAAAATACTCACCCCAAACAGTGTCTAGTACCTGTAAAAAACATTTTCAGCTCAATCGAACATACCGTGTTGGAGAAACGGGGACGAAAACTAGGGTCATTTTTCGACATTGCGACCCTATTATCTCATAGAAGACAGCCCAAGCAGACAAAAATTTCAAAAAACGCGTTTAAACGCACAATCGGGAACCGCGACTGTGATCCATTCACGCTCATTAAAAACACGCCAGAAACGACGTTTTTTGTGCAAAATAGTCAATTTTCAAGCGTGAAAACGGCAAAAATATAAAAAACCGAGCGTTTAAACACGTCGTTTTTTAAATCTAGAAAAAGAGAACGTTTTAACACTAGAAATTTAAGTTTTCCACCGTTTTCACGCTTGAAAATTGACTATTTTGTACAAAAAACGTCGTTTCTTGCGTTTTTTTAATGAGCGTGAATGGATCACAGTCGCGGTTCCCGATTGTGCGTTTAAACGCGTTTTTCGAAATTTTTGTCTGCTTGGGTAGTGGTCAGAACAGTTACGAGTGTCGACTGCTATGAGTGCACCGATTCTGTTACATGCGGAAACAATGGCAAGGGGTCAGTTGTTACCAATTGTCCCGTATGCATGGTTTACCGAAATCAGTATGATAATAGTACGCATTTATGAGGCAATTTCAACATAATAATTTACTAATGGCTTTTTAGATCGAATTGTGCGCCGCTGTTGTTGGTACAACTGTGGTGTCGACAATTCAGTTCGAATATATGAGGGACGAGAATCTTACTTTTGTACCTCCTATTTGTGCAATGGGCACGGTTCCGAAAATGCACTCATCGGCGGTTCAGGTTTCATCATCAAAATATTTCTCTGAGAATGATCGCATGCCATTTCATTGCTGCTTTATAGTTCTTAGCACACGCTTAACAACACCTATAACAACAACAGCAAACATGAAAACAGCGACAACAACCATGACCACAACCAAGCCGATGACAAATACGACAATAACCATAACCACAACAGGCACGACAACAAGCATTACCACAATGGATACGGCAACAGGCACAACCGCAACCATGATCACAACCGACCAGATGACCAATACGACTGCAGGCATGATCACAACCGACCCGATGACGAATACGACTGCAGGCATGATCACAACCGACCCGATGACCAATACGACTGCAGGCATGATCACAGCCGACCCGATGACAGAGACGAAAACAACCGTAACCACAACCGATTCGATGGCAAAAACGACAACAAGGATGGTCACAGCCGATGTGATAACTAGCATGACTACAACGGCAAATATGAAAACGATGACATTGACCGTTGCTCCCCAAGAGCCAGTCGAAGAGTTGATGACAACCTCGCAATTTTACACAACATATACAACAGGGGCAAGTGATCTCCAGAAAACAGAGAAAGTGACAACAGCAGAGTTGTTGACGTCCTACGAAGAAAGCGCCATTGTATCGGATCAACCAACCACTCAAACAACATTTGAGGCAGCACTAAGAACCTTAGAGACAGAAACAACACATGCAGAAGGTAGGATTTCTGACTTCATCATAAATAGCGCCCACAGCTTTTGACGATTTTTGACCCAATCCTTCCTCTGTCCGCTTCTCCCAATTTTTGCTAGCTCCCTCCTACCTTTGTACGGACATTCTCTTCCCTAGCGTTTTTTACAGCAGTTAACAACATGGAAAAGTACACGACACGCCGAACGTAGTAGGTACGACGGTAACATGATCTAGAGAGGACTTCATCTAGCATTGTTTGTGTTGTTTACAATGAAAATCTCTGAGTGCTGATCACATTTAATATGAAATGGCGTACTATGTATTATGGAGTAGAGGAAAATTTAAATTTTATTAGATTTCTACAACTAGGTTCGTTTTACATCCTACATGTGACTAAGACAACATCAATGTACTGGTAAGTGACTCCCGTTTTGTGTGCACATTATACATAGGAAGAAGATTATCTACTATTGTGTTTCGATTGCTTATTAGAAAGTTTTCGTCGACTCAATCGTCACTCAAAGAAAACATTCATAGGACAACTAGCAAGGCAATCACGAGTACAGATAGGGTAGTTCTACTTGATCGCAGTTATCGAACGTTTTTTTCTTCACTCACGGGGCAAAAAAGTTTTGCGTCCTATCGGAAGAATTTTCGTGTCAGATCTGCCAGTGTAGAAAGAAAGCAAAATAATAATTCTGAAGGATAGAAACAATAAATGTGAAGAGAAGCAGACAAGGGAAATCGAGGTACGGAATAAATAGTTGAGTAAGTAAAGAATGTTTTGTGCATCTTTCCAACTACACGCTTTTTGGTGAATCACCAAGATTCTACCAGATAAAATTTTTTCATTAAATTTTTGAATCAGATGAGTATAATTACAATGAAATATGAAGAATAGAGGTAATCTCATTTCTTGATCGTTTTTAAATATTCATCTCGTTTAGTAATTAGTACTCGCACCGAAAGGCCATAGACTTGAAGTATTCATGAAATATTTTTCTCCATATCGTTTATCTCTACTCATAATATTTGAATACAGTTTTCTGGATTGTTAATAATATATTTCTGTTTTATTATTACAGTGTGTTCTACATTCTCACTCGAAGAACCAGCAGTTCTCTATACAACCGGATCAGGTCCACAGTCAGTGATATCGGCGGACTTTAATAAAGATGGCCACTTGGATATGGCGCTGACTAATTACAACGAAAACACTGTCTCTGTTCTGTTAGGCATTGGCAACGGATCGTTTGAGCTACCTCCGATGAGCTTCGCCTGCAACGGAATTCGTCCATACTGGCTCGTCGCTCTGGATTTCAATGACGACGGAAATCTCGACTTGGCCATATGTAACGAGGGATCAAACGCTGTCGCCGTTCTTCTTGGCCTGAGAAACGGAACATTTGAATTGCCGGCCATGACCTTCGATAGTGGAGGATATTTGCCTTCGTCAATCGCTGCCGCGGATTTTAATAACGATAACAAAATCGACTTAGTCGTGACAAACACTGGTTCTAACAAGATCACTATTCTTCTCGGTATGGGCAACGGCACGTTTCAAGTTCCTGGAAGATCGTACACAGCCGGCAAATTGCCCACGTCTATAACCAATGGAGATTTCAACGCGGACGGAAACATCGATCTGGCTGTAGTGAGTCGCGACAACGATCAACTGCTTATTTTTCTTGGCTTTGGCGACGGATCTTTCCAAAGCAGCTTGACTAGTTATACGACAGGGTCATTTCCTTACGCAGTTCGAACGGCTGATTTCAATGGCGATTCCAAATTGGATCTGGTCGTTGCCAACTTCCACGCCAATACGATAAGCATTTTTGAGGGTACCGGCACGGGCACATTTGTCACATCATCTGCTGCGACATATGCCACAGGCGGCAAGAGTCCCATCGACGTCACGATTCAAGATCTCAATGGAGATTTAACAATGGACTTGGTTGTAAGTAGCCAAGCCGGCAATAGCGTTATCGTGTATTTGGGCTATGGAAACGGAACTTTTGAGCAGGGGAACACTTATTCTACAATGGGACTAAAATCCCAGTCGGTCATCGTTCACGACTTCAACGAGGACGGAAAGTATGACCTGGCTGTCACTAATCAAAACACCAACACGTTGGCTGTGTTGTTAACGCAATGCACTTGAAAATAATCACGCTCTCTTATTGGTAGCAATTATTTAAAACAACACTCCTTTTTTATCAACATTTCAGCATTTTCTCTTTAATAAAAATTACATCACAATGCTTAAGAATAAGCTTCAGTTATGGTATCGTCTACAATACGGGAAGAACTTGATTTTTAGACTTGATCCGAGTGCTCATATTAAAGAACTGATACGCCTCAGTTAGAACTAAGAGTGTTCCATTGATCATCTCAAATTCTATTCTTTAATTAATGCATGAGAGGCAACAGTTTCATAATTTTCAACGTTTGATCAGCTGCAAATCTAGATCGAGCGTGAAGATCCTACTGGCAACCCTGAGAGAGAATCCTGCGCTAGTAAAAAAAAGTTGCAAAAAACTGTTTTCGATGTTTTTCCGCCAGAGCTAAGAAAGAAAGCAACCGCTCCCTGATTCTACTACTGCGAGTTAGATTTATCGTTCTGTTCTTGTTACACGCCATTCGGGTGAGGAAAAATTTACTTTGATGTACACATACGAGACACCATCACTACAGAGTTATTATATCCACTGCCTCGCCACACTTCTCTTCTTCATATTCTCTATCGACTTTCTATTACGTCCACCGAAGAAAAACAACCGACAACCACAACAACAGAGAGAGAATGAAGGGTAGGTGTCTTGTTCTTACGGGCATCCACAACCTCATATCCACATACGCACGGTAGTAACTGACACGAGCTAGTGAAATACGATATTAAGTTTGTTTTGTTGACTACTGCCTGACGACGTCGACGCGATATGTGTATGTATA